GTGCCCGACCTAACTCTAGAATCTGGCGATCGCAAACATGGATTCAGGGGGCCTGTATTAGCGACGGGTCCCGTTTCCATGGGACATCGCGGATTTCCGCCGCCGAGCGAGGCGGCACCGGCCGCGTTTTGGGGAGGGCACCTCCCCGATGGATTTGGCGACCGCGCGCCAAATCCATGGATCGCTAATAGGGGGCCACATGCGAACCCGACCCCTGCCCCCTAGGAGTTCTGAAGGGGGAGGGTGGGGTTCCCTTCGCTCGGGAGCTCCCGAACGAAGCGAGCCCCACCCCCCCCTCAGAACTCGTAGGGGTCAGGGGTACAGTGAGCGGCTTGAATAAGGAACACTTCCCTTTCAAAAGGGGCTCGGTCGTTCCTTAGGCTTGCATGCGTTAGTCATCGTTCCTGATGCGTTATGTATTATGTATCGTTCCTTGTGCGTTTATTCCCTGGAAAAAAAGGGGGCTTCGTCCCTTACTTAACGTTCCTTCGGTCAGGCCGATGGCTGTAGGGTTCGCACGTGGCTCCCCAGCTACTCCACGTCTGCGCGCGCGCCCCCCCGAGGGCGGCCGCCTAGAGTAGAGTAGGAGCGTCGGCGGCACGCCGCCGCCGTCGGGAGCCCGTCGGGGCGCGCGCGCCTCCCTCGATGTGGTTGGCGCGGAGGCCTGGCGTCTCTCCTCGGGTCAGGAGGGGCCAAAAACAAACGCAGACACAATGAATCGTCGAGTCCCAGGAAAATAGGTGAACATATGGGAAGTGGGGGGAAGACAAAAGCCCAGAAAAGATGGGAAAGCATGGGGCATCTGCTTATTTGTGTGAATTTGTTTGTGTGTCTCAGGGCCCCGTCAGTTGTTGGCGCTGAGGCCCGGCGTCTCTCCTTGGGGCGGTCCTGCGCGGACGTGCCCCCCCCCCCCCCCCTGCGGCGGCTTGTCGCATCATGCTGTTGTGTTAGGTCGGGCATGCCCCTCCACAGGAGGGATATAAAAGATAGTCAGGACATGTTGGGTGTATGTTCTTCAGTATTGCAAATATGTGTTAAGTCGCATGATGTTGTGCTAAGTCGGGTTGGCGTCCCTTTGCAAGAACTTCGGCTTCGGCACCGCCTGTGTCCGAGGCTATGCTTCCTCTCGGCGACGGCCTCGCTCTGAGGCTCCGCCGCTTCCTCCCTCCTCTTCTCTGCCTAATTCAGGCTTCGTGCGGCCCGCTTAGCTTCGACCCGAAGAGGTGCGCTCTCGACCCGCGGATCAAAAAAGTGTTAGGTCGGGCATGCCTCTCCACAGGAGAGATGTTCAAAAATAGTCCAAAAGATAGTCAGGACATTTTTGGGGGTATGCTTTTGAGCATTGCGAATTTGTCGTCCAAAAATCCCCATGTAGGGGGACATGACCGACCTAATGAACTGCTGTGCCTGCTTCCCGAGCTACGTGCGTGCGCTGATTCGCTGACCCCCCCCCTGCACTGCACCGGTTCCCCTTGGCGCCCGACCTGAAGGTCGGGAGGCGGTGTCGCTATCGTTGCCTCCTCCGAGGTGCTCCAAGTCCCTCATTAATCGTTCGGGGGTGGACAGAACCCCCAACACTGACACGTCGATTAGTGAATTGTCCGTTGGGCGCCGTGGCCGTTATTTTCCAGGCTTGCGCCCGCCAGGTTTGGGTCTCAGGTCGTTTTCACTAAACCACGTTTTACTAAAGGGGGGTCTGTCCATCCCCGAATCGTCCCCCGGGTCTGGTTTTTTAAGGCGCTTGTTTTGTGCCTGGGGGGGGGGCGGTTTGTCAGGGCGCTGTCTTTCGATTGCATGGAGCTTAGGGGGTCCGGCTTATCCAGGCGCCCCGTCGAAGGGGGGGGTTCGGAATATTAGGTCGCATTTGGAGGGGGGTCCAGTTTTTTTTAGGGGGTGGTCGATTAATAAGGGATTTGGAGTATCGGGGGTTGGGACAACAAAGTCTTGACGGTGAGAGAGACCTCGAGCGCCACCCCACGGGGACGCCACAACCCTCAGGAAGGAGACAGGCGTCGTCCCTGTGGTGATGCTTGGCAGGTGCGTCGATGTTTTTTTATAATAATAAAATCAAGCAAACAAAACAGCATAACAACTGAACAACAAATTATCAGCATCAACACCAACAACAATAACATAAACAACAACATAAACAACAACAACAACAACAACAACAACAACAATTACTAGCACGTGGGGACACTCCGTTCTCACCAGTGCCAGGGTTTTCATAGGAGGCGGGCAATACCCCCACTTTGTGGGGGGGCCGGTTCAAGCTCTACCAAATTTCCAAACGACTCTTCGCCACCACCCACACCCAGCTTCCCGCCCTATGACGTTCGGACACTTCACTTCGTGGCATGCGGACGACCGTGGCTACTATTCAGGGCCCCGCGGCCGACGACGACGGCGTGCGCGCGCGAAGAAAAAACGAATGTGTCCCGCATGGTATTATTTGACAGGGATGATGGCCCTGGCAGGTGCGCAACCGTTGTCGCAGAAGTTCGAAAAAGTTGCTCGCAAAAGCCCGTTTGACAGAAATGTTTAAAAAGTGTTGGGTTTCCTACGAATCCGCAAGAGCGCGCGGGATGAAATTTTGACTTTTTTTTTTTTTTAAAAAAAAAAAAAAAAAAAAAAAAAAAAAAAAAAAAAAAAAAAAAAAAAAAAAAAAAAAAAAACATTGGCTTTTTGATGTTGTTATGTTAAAATCGCTAAGAAAACTAAGGTTTTGAAAGGATTTCGTCTTGCGCGCGCGAATGCCACTTTACCTTATTTTTGCAAGGGATTCTTGAAGTTTGGTTATGTTAGAACAAGAAATGTCCACTTTAGCTTATTTTTGCAAGGGAAAGCCGATCGTAACAAAACAACCGGATCCGGACCAACCCGTTTTGCCTGAGACTTCCTCACGAAAATGATGAAAATGCGGCTGCGGCCTAGGCGCGGCGGGGGGGTCGTGCACCAGGGGTCCCAACAATAATTATTCTTTAGAAGTAATAATGTTCAACAACAACAACAACAACAATTACTAGCACGTGGGGACACTCCGTTCTCACCAGTGCCAGGGTTTTCATAGGAGGCGGGCAATACCCCCACTTTGTGGGGGGGCGGGTTCAAGCTCTACCAAATTTCCAAACGACTCTTCGCCACCACCCACACCCAGCTTCCCGCCCTATGACGTTCGGACACTTCACTTCGTGGCATGCGGACGACCGTGGCTACTATTCAGGGCCCCGCGGCCGACGACGACGGCGTGCGCGCGCGAAGAAAAAACGAATGTGTCCCGCATGGTATTATTTGACAGGGATGATGGCCCTGGCAGGTGCGCAACCGTTGTCGCAGAAGTTCGAAAAAGTTGCTCGCAAAAGCCCGTTTGACAGAAATGTTTAAAAAGTGTTGGGTTTCCTACGAATCCGCAAGAGCGCGCGGGATGAGATTTGACAATTTTTTGTTGAAAAACCATTGGTTTTTTGATGTTTTTATGTTAAAATCGCTGCGAACACTAAGGTTTTGGAAGGATTTCGTCTTGCGCGCGCGAATGTCCACTTTACCTTATTTTTTGCAAGGGATTCTTGAAATTTGATTATATTAGAACAAGAAATGTCATTTTCTATTGTTTTTTGCAAGGGAAAGCGGATTACAACAAAACACCCGGATCCTGTACACACCCTCTTTTCTGAGGCTTCCTCACGAAAGTGATGAAAATGTAGCTGCGGCCTAGGCGGCGCAGGGGGGGCGCGCACCAGGGGGCCCAACAATAATTATTCTTTAGAATAAATAATGTTCAACAACAACAACAACAACATTTACTAGCACGTGGGGACACTCCGTTCTCACCAGTGCCAGGGTTTTCATAGGAGGCGGGCAATACCCCCACTTTGTGGGGGGGCCGGTTCAAGCTCTACCAAATTTCCAAACGACTCTTCGCCACCACCCACACCCAGCTTCCCGCCCTATGACGTTCGGACACTTCACTTCGTGGCATGCGGACGACCGTGGCTACTATTCAGGGCCCCGCGGCCGACGACGACGGCGTGCGCGCGCGAAGAAAAAACGAATGTGTCCCGCACGGTATTATTTGACAGGGATGATGGCCCTGGCAGGTGCGCAATCGTTGTTGCAGAAGTTCGAAAAAGTTGTTCGCAAAAGCCCGTTTGACAGAAATGATTAAAAAGTGTTGGGTTTCCTACGAATCCGCAAGAGCGCGCGGGATGAAATGTTGACATTGTTTTTGAAAAACCATTGGTTTTTTGATGTTTTTATGTTAAAATCGCTACGAAAATTAAGATTTTGGAAGGATTTCGTCTTGCGCGCGCGAATGTCCACTTTACCTTGTTTTTTTGCAGGGGATTCTTGAAGCTTGGTTATGTTAGAACAAGAAATGTCCACTTTAGTTTATTTTTTGCAAGGGAAAACCGATCGTAACAACACAACCGGATCCGGACTCCCCCGTTTTGCCTGACACTTCCTCGCGAAAATGATGAAAATGAGGCTGCGGCCTAGGCGCGGCGGGGGGGTCGTGCACCAGGGGCCCCAACAATAATTATTCTTTAGAAGTAATAATCTTCAACAACAGCAACAACAACGACAACAACAACAACAACAACCACAACAACAACAACAACAGCAACAGCAACAACAACAACAAAAATCATGAGATATTGATGCTGACCTCTCCTGGGGTGCGTTCGGGCCAGGATTCCAAGGATCACCCGGCCGGCGGCATCCCTCCCCGGGGTCACCCGCGGGGGCGCGCAGACGATCCCGCGCGTCGCGCGCCGCGGTCCGGGCCCCGAGCGGCTGCCCCCTGTCCTCGAGGGGGCGGCGCGGGGGCGCCCATGGGCGCGAAGGGATCGCTCGGAGGTGGATCGACCTCCCTCCTCCTCCCCTCGCTCCTCCCCCCTCCTCCCTCCTCCTCCCTCCTCCTCCTCCCTCCTCCTCCCCCCCTCCCCCCCCTCCCTCCTCCCCCTCCTCCCCCTCCCCCCCCCGCCGTCCCCGTCTCGGAGGTGGATCGGCCTCCTACCCTGACACGTCGATGGAGGAATTGGCCGTTTGCGGTTCGCGAGAGGGCGTCGCGGCCGTCATTTCTGCGGGCCCAGGTCCGTCGGTTTCGGTCCCAGGCCGTTTACACTAAGGGGAGGTTTGCGAAAGGGAGGTTTGTCCACCGCCGAATCGCGCAGCGCGCAGCGCGATGGAAGAAGTCTCTGAAGGGGCCCTGGGACACACAAATAGATACACAAATAGAGCCGGATGCCCCATCTTTTCCATTTTTCTGGGTTTCTGGCGTCCCCCCCCCACTTCCCATATTCTCCCATATTTTCCAAGGGATCGACGATTGACTGTGTCTGTGTGTCTTTGTTCCCCTCTGGAGAGTCTCAGAGGAGGAAAAGGTACCCGTGCCTCTGCCCCTTCGCGCGTTTTCCCCTTTTCGGGCCTCCTGGGAGGCCTTCGTCGCCACCGCTGAGTTCGCCTCGAAGTCCTGGTCAGAACGCACGCGGGGAGAGGTCGGGTGAGTAGCGTTAGCGGTACCTTTCGGTTTCCCCAAAGTTGAGTGACTTACGGAATGTGTTCCTCCTCCGAGGTACATCCAGTGCAACGATAACTATACCGCCCGACTCCCCCGACCTTTGTTGGGATGCGTTCTGACCAGAGTGCCGAGGACAATCCAGCCGTGGCGCAGCGAGATCTCCAGGGCGATCGGCGGGTCGGATAGTAGACGGGGGAACAGTGAAAGGGCGGGGGCGCACGAAATCAGTTGCCGGCACATGTTTTCGGTCCCGCCGCATCCTTTCCTCGTACACTGACGCCCCCAGGCGCGGGGAAAGCCAGCTACTTGAGCTGATTCGCGAACCTTTCTTTTGCTAACCCCATCTCTCGCCTGACCCACAGGACCCTGACATGCACCGATGCGATTTGTTCCACCCGCGGCCCCAAAAGTCTGGACCCCTTCCCCGGGGATAGTGTTGCGTCCCAGATCCGTTTTTGATGACCAGGGGACTCAGCAACATCCCCAGAGGCAGAATACAAGGATAAACGCCTGGAAAGAAGCCTCTCGGAGGCACTTCGCGTGGAAAGATACCACTACGGCATCTCTCCCGGGGTGCGTTCTAACCAGGACGTCGAGGAGAGTCCGGCCGTGACGGCGAGGGCTCTCCAGGACGTGCTGCGACGCTGCGTCGTTGAGCGGCGGTATCGTGGCACCCCCTCTTCGCGAGGTACTTCGAGTGCAACGACCTCCTCGTGGATCCGCTGCCCCGCCCGCGCTTCGCGGCGGCCCCCCCGCGGCGGGCCCGGTGCGGCGGGCGGGCGCGGCGGGGCGCGCTGCTGGGCGGGCTGCTGTTCCTGCTGGTGCGGGCCTTCCGGGGCAGGTGCTCCTCCCTGGAGTGTCCGGGGCTGCGTGCGTCCAGTGGCGGCCCCTCATCACCTCCTCGTTCTCCTCCTCCTCGTCCCCCTCCTCCCCCTCCTCCCCCTCCTCCCCCTCCCCCTCCTCCTCCCTCCTGCCACTCCCCCTCCCTCTCCCCTCCTCCTCCTCCCTCCCTCCTCCTCCTCCTCCTCCTCCTCCTCCCCCTCCTCCTCCTCCTCCTCCTCCTCCTCCTCCTCCTCCTCCTCCTCCCCCCCCCCTCCCCCCTCCCCCTCCCCCCTCCTCCCCTCCTCCTCCTCCTCCCTCCTCCCTTCCTCCTCCCTCCTCCTCCTCCTCCTCTTCCTCCTCCTCCTCTTCCTCCTCCTCCTCCTCCTCCTGCTCCTCCTCTCCTCCTTTTCCCTTTTCCTCCTCCTCCTCCTCCTCCTCCTCCTCCTCCTCCTCCTCCTCCTCCTCACACATGTCGACCTGTATCGAGCAGCGGCTGAGCATCGTTTCAACTTCTGCCTGTTGCGAGGGTTGTTCACGATGTCTGCTGCAGAGAGAAAGCGGTGCTTTATGGAGGGTGTGCCTCGTGGAAGGTCAAGGCGAACGGAGGTGTGATAGCAGGATGTTCAGCAGCAACAATTGTTGCAAGGCTCCTGCTCTTGAGCCCTCTGTTTTCTGTTTTTGGCCCAGTTTGTTTGGGCGCCCGCAGCTGGCTATCCACAACGTGATCGACGACGTCGCGTTGCAGATCGTCGCCCCCGCCGACGTGGTCGTGGACCAGCTGGCAGCTGGCAGGGGGCACGATGTCGTTGCTGGCCAGATTCAAGCAGCTCGGGCTGCCAGTTTCAGCCACGTCGAAGTACCTGTGCAGCAGCGCCGAGCTCGATGCGACGCTGGAGCAGGCTTGGCACATTCCCCCAAGTGCTCGCGCCACCTCACCGAGGAACCTGGGGACCGATGCTTCGTTCGGAGCCAGCCGGAGGGCCGGAGTTACCAGGGCGAAGTGGCAAGGAGCGCGGAGACGATCGAGCAAGATTCGGCATCTTCGGCGAGCTTGGGCAAGCACTGGTTGGGGTCCAGCGGGCGGGCCCAACGGCCTCGGCCTTGTGGGGGCTAGCATCATGGGGATCCCGCCGTCTCAGATGCAAGGGCTTCGTCTCGGTGGCTCTAGGCAGTTTAGGTCGAGTGCCGAGGGGTACTACGACCAGCCTTCGATAGCACAGCTTCAAGGAAGGTCCCAAGATCGACCCGCTGATCTTGAACATCGGCCAGGTCTTGTTCATGTGGGCCCAGGCCGTCTGGGAGCCATATCCCAAGCTAGGCGTGCTGCAGGTATGCTTCGAACCGGCACAGAGCGGGATCTCGGTGTTGTTCTCCCCGTGGGCGGCGGCGGCGGCGTCATTTGCGGAAGTGGCGGTCTTCAGTTTGGAGAGGATATGCTGGTCTTTTCAGGCGTGCGACATCCTCGCCACGGGCGAAGGCGAGCAGATCCAGTTGACAGAAAAAGTGTTTCCAGCCCTCGTCAAGGCCATGGCAGAGGAAGGGGCCCTTCGAGCGTCGGATCGCCAAGGTCTCAGAGTCAGGGAGCCCGCAGACTCGTGGCGTCGCGTGCCCCGCTGTTCTGGCAGGCTCTCAACCGCCTCCTGAACAAAGTCCCTTGGGCGAGCGGATGGACGGTGAGGCGCCAGAGCTCCTTGAGGTCGCTCATATCGGGGGCCCAGTGGCCCCAACGCAGGCTCTTCGAGCACGGCCTGGCGGAGTCTGGGGCCTTCCTTCGGCGCGGAGACCCTGAGGGGTCTTTGTGGCACAGAGCCTATGAATGCCCAGCGTTGAGAGTGCAGCCTAGGGAGGGTGTCCCGGTCTTCTTGCAGCGCAGGGCCCGCAGGGTCAAAGCGTGGGGCTTCGACGAGGGGGAGCGGTGAGCCCCGCGGTCTTGCTGGAGGCGCCCGAGGAGCGCGAGGTCACCGTCCTTTGGTACAACAGGCCTTCGCTGGGCCTTCTGAGCGGGCTCTTGTTTACACACGGCTCGGCCCTGTGGGCTGACTGCCCGCGCCTGGCCCGAGCTGGCTGGGCAGTCGTGCAGGTAGACAATGTCGGCCGCGCGCAGGCGGCGGCCTATGGGCCTGTCCCAAGGTCGGCGGCACCCAGGCAACAGGCTAGAGATGCTGAGAATTTTGCGCTGGATATGCTAACGCAATTGGCCCTCCCCCCTTTCACATTGTACGTCGATTGTGCAGGGGCCGGCAGCACGGTCCGACGCGGGGAGGGTGGGGGGGGCTGGATCGCCCAACGCTCGAGCGCACCTGTGGGGCCAGATTTTGGACGTTGGGCAGGCCACATGATGGGCCTGTGTTCCACCACCACCACCATAAGTTGGAGGGGGAGGGGGTCCTCCTCCTCCTCCTCCTCCTCCTTCCCCCTCCAACTTATGGTGGTGGTGTTGGAAACCATGCCCATCACCACAGAGTGGGGGCGTCGAGCCAACAGTGCGGCGGACGAGTTCGCCAAGCGAGGGGCAGCTGCCCATGGCATCGATGCAAGGTTTTACTAAACGTGGCGCGGGCTGTCAGAGTGTGCGCGAGAGGCTGCCGCTTGGGCGGCTGAGGCGCACATATCGCAACCGCGACAGCCTCATGAACCAACATGCTGCGGCACGAGTGGCCGAGCGGCCAGAGGGTGCAGTGCCAGCGCCAGACGCTGCTCCTGATCAGGAGCCGCCCGAGGACGGAGGGGGTCTGGGCGCGGAGTCGAGCTTCCGCTGGCGGGCGCACCTCCTGCTGCAGTGCGCCGTCCACGGTGCGAATCCTGAGGTGCGTTTCCTCCTCTGTTGCTGCCGCTGCGGGGCGGTCTGTCCCGAGGGGAGGACGACGCCTGCCATCTTGGCGAGCTGCCCTGGGCACGCGGGGCGCGGCACCCAAGACCAGCCCCGCAGGATCTCGGAGGGTGAGCTTCAGAGCGTGAATTACCTACCCCGCTTTCGCTTCCAGGCAAAACCAAGCCATACCACGCGCCTCCTCGTCAAGCGGCCTGACCAGCACAGGCTGCAATTTGGCATCGTTTGGTATCTCTTGGAAGCGAGGGTGGTCAAAAGCGGGGTAGGTTTGTTTTCCCCCGAGAGTTCCCCCACGACAGAGCGGGCGTCAAGCACCTGAGGTTGGATCGCCCACGCGGGGCGGCGCCAAGCCGTTCGGGCCGGCCTCGCCAGCCAGGCGATGGAGGCCGACCGCGCCGCCAAGGCTCCTGCCCGCGCCAGATCGGCGCGGGGTGGGGCGGGGGCGGGGGGGTCGGGCCGACATCCTCCGAGCCTTCGGCCTGGAGGCTGGCGATATCTTGGCTGTGCGTGAGATGGGTCGCCGTGAGATCTAGTGCTCAGCCGACGCCCCCGGGAATCCCAGCTTGGACGAGGGATCCTCGTTCGGGGGGTAGTTTTGTCACGCCGCTTTTTGAGCCAACCCATACAATGCCAGACCTCCTCCTCCATCCTCCGTCCTCCTCCTGCACCTCCTGAAGTTCCATCGGGTCCACCCAGGTTCTCAACCTCCTGCTCCTGCCAGTGCGCGCCTTCAGGGGGGGGGGATCTTTCCTGGGAGACCCAGGGCGGCCCCCCACAGACCATCGAGGAAACGCAGACATGGAACAAGTCGGGAGCAGTGTTTTTTGGGGGGGGCAGGGGGGGAACGCATCGACCCCCAATCGCCCACTGATCGCCTATAGGGGCCTGATAGCCCACCCTGCTCAGGAGCATGCGGATTCGCTTTCGAGGGCATATCGCCAATTTGTTGCCGATGCATTGCCGATTCCAGGTCGTTGCCCCCCCCTTCTGGGGCATTCCCCGATCGTTGCCACTTACGTGGCAGCCGTACATATATGCACAAAGGTATGCAAGCCATCGCCCAGCACATAGTGTAGCCATGTTGTTGACCGTCGCACGGTCGCAACCTACCCCGAATATTGTCCACCAGGGTGAGCGCGATGGCAATTGCGAGCATTGTATCACGTTCATGTTCTTGCTTCCGGCTCACAGTCCATCGAGGACACGCAAACATGAGTCCAGGCGCGTGGATTCGCAACGGGCCCCGCGTGCATGCAGAATTGCGGCGCTCCGTCGGCAAACCCGGTGGCATTGGCTGCTCGTTTCGGGGGGGGGATTTGCTCCGATCCGTGGATCTGGCGTCCACGCGCCAGGTACACGGACCCGTAACATCCATGCGAACGTGTGCCCGACACCCGCCAGGCCAGGCGACCCTTCCTCCTTCGCAGACCTCAGGTCTCTGAAGATCAGTGTTCCGATTCCCGGGGGGGGGTGCCTCGATGAGTGCCTCTGGGGCTCGCTTTTGCGCCCCTTGGCCAGTCAAAAAGTGGATATGGGATTACCCACTGCCCCTGGGGAAGGGGTCGGGACCTCTGGAGCCGCGCATTGAAAGAGCGCACATCGTCGAATGTGTGGAATGTTGGGCCAGGGCACGAGCGAAACGGCGCGTTGGTAAGGTCGTGGACCGTTTTCGTTCTAATGTCGGTTTGCAGCAGAGACGGAGCAAAGACAGAACGAGGGAACACGAGTACAAAGCGAACACGAGAAACATGTTAGTTCGAGCCCTGCTGTCCCCATGCGAGGGGCAGGAGGGGGAAGAGGAGAGGAGAAGCGGGGAGCAGGAAAGAGCAGAAGGAGGAGGAACGGAGAAGTGCAAGGACGAATAGGAGGATTTGATCGCTGGGTTGCAATGTGGGCTTCGTGGAGGTTCGACAGGAGGAGGACCAGGAGGAGGAGGAGGAGGAAGAGGAGGAGGAGGAGCAGTAGTAGGAGGAGGAGGGGGAGGAACGATAAAAAGCCAGGAGGATAGGGATGATTAATCGGTGGGTTGCAATGTGGGCCTCGTGGAGGTTCGACAACCTGGAGCCCCTGGCTGCGCTGACGGAGGAGGGGCCCGTCCCGGCGGATCCCACAGCTGCCTATGGCGCGCTGCCTCTTCCCAGGACAGCAAGATGAGGAGGGCTCAGTGTAACGCTTGAATGAGAGGGAGGAGGGCAATGAAGCTGCAGAAATCGTACAAACTCATAGCCCTAAGTTGTTTGTGTGGTGTGTTTTGTCTTCCCATGGAGGGGCTACAGGAGTACGGTAGGTTCATGCGGCGTCGGCTCGCTGGTAACGCCGGCGAAGGCGTTCAAGGTTGAATTCTGCGACGCAGAACCCGTTGGACCCACGGAATTCAACCCTGAACGATCGGAGCCGCGACCGATTCAAGGTCGAACGATCGGCGCGATGGCAAAAGCCTTTGCGCGCGCGTCGACGCCGCGCGCGAACCCACCGTTCACATACCAGACCGGCCGCTGCCGGCTCTGCTGCAGTGTGCCTGCACGGGCCCCAGATGGGCCCCTATCACGGTCGGACCGAGGGTGCCCCAGCGTTCTTCGCCTCTGCTGGGCGATCTTGTGCATCCTGGGGCAGGGCACCCTCGGACGCTCTTCGGTTCAGCGGCGGAGGGTCCCATGGTCTTGGAGGACGCTCCTCTGTCATGGGTCTGGCTTCAGAGGAGCATGAAGTATTGATATTGATAGTTTTCCACATTTCCATGTTTTCCTGTTCTTCCGCGCGGGCTTCAGGGACGAATGGTCGAGCGCGTTCCGTCGCGCAGGTTCTCCGCGTGATGTTCGCGGTGCATTTTTCGCGCATCGGAGCGCCCTCGAAGCTCCTCTGTCCTGGGTCTGGCCGCATCCGGGCTCCACCCCGCCGGGACGCCCCCGCGGAGCCGGGCCCCCGACGCCGCGGTCTCTGTCTGCAGCGTGGGCTCCCGGAGGTCTCGGCCCGTGCGCCGGAGGGGCCAGCTGGTCTCGGTGGCGAGCGCGGGGGAAGCCCCACTGCACGCAAGAGTGACCTTTCGCCGGAGGGGCCGTTGGTGCGGGCCCGCCCGATTCCCCCGATCGCCGAAGGTGAAGCGAGAGTGGCGTCTTGCGCGCTTGGGTTCAGTCGGGCGGTTCCCTGTGCAGGAGGGATAAGCAAACATAGTTTAAACAATGGTCTGGGGATGATTTTGTTGACTATCCTTGATCCTTTTGGAGTATGTTTTGATTATGTTTAATTTTTCGTCCAAAATACGCATGTAGGGGGACATAGCCGACCTAACGCTTGGGTTTGCCCCCCCCCGCGGCTCCCCGAAAGCCACGCACCAAAGGTCACTCTTGCCTAGGGTCACTCTTGCGTTTTGCCGGGAAGTGAGAGGGGGCGGCTTGCTCGGAAGGCTCGGAAGTCCCCCGGCCTCCCGAAAAGTGTTCCCAACAAAATCCCACCAGCCCTCTGGGCGTCGGTGGTTTAGGGCGTTTCCTCTTCCACCCCTCCCTCTTCCCCTTCGGGGAGGGGTTTACCCCTCCCCCTACCCCCTCCCCACTGACCTGGACAGGAGGGGCGGGGAGCGGTCAGAGCGTCCAAAACGGCCTCGGCGAGGAAGCCCAAATCATTGATTTTACTATGGTTTGGGCCCCATTTTGGCCTTCTGAGGGGGCAGCGCTAATTAAAGCTCCCATCTTCTTTGATCGATTTCCTCCACGATGGCCGCAAGAGGCCCCCAGGATGCCCCAAGAGGCCGCAGGATGGCCCCAAGATGGCCCCAAGAGGCCCCCCAGCAGGCCCCCAGGAGGCCCCCAAGAGACCCCCAAGAGGCCCCACGAGACCCCCCAGAGGCACCCAAGGTGCTCCCAGAGGCCTCGGCGATAATGTCAAACCATTGTTTGCACTAAGGTTTTGGCCACATGTTGGCCTCTTGGGGGGGGGGCACTGATTAAGATGACTCCAAGAGCGCCTCGGAGAGCCCAAAATGACCTCCAAGATGGCTCAAGGAATCCCAAGATGTCTCATACTGGCTTCCTCTGTGTGCTGTCCACTTCCCTAATCGAGGCAATCCCACCAGCCCTCTGGGCGTCGGTGGTTTAAGGCATTTCCTCTTCCACCCCTCCCTCATTCCCTTCGGGGAGGGGTTTATCCCTCCCCCTACCCTCTCCCCGTGGACCTGGACGGGGGGGGCCGCGAGCGGTCAGAGCGTCCAAAACGGCCTCGGCGAGGAAGCCAAAATCATTGATTTTACTGAGATGTTGGCCCCATTTTGGCCTCCTGAGGGGGCACAGATGGCCCCAAGAAGCGCCCAGGAGGCCCCCAAAGGCCCCAAGATGGCCCCAAGAGGCCCCAAGAGGCCCACAGGAGGCCCCAAACAGGATCCCGAACGGCCCACAGAGGCCCCCCCGAGACACCCAAGACGCCGAAAAGCCCCTCAGGACGACCCTCTACTCGCCTGGGCGTCGTTTCTGGACGGGCTGGTGGGGATACGCGAAGCGTCTAGAATTTCCAGAAGGCCAGAGGCCAGAGGGTTTCTGAGAAGCCCCGCGGCCTTCTGAGAGAGCCTTTTACTTCTCGCTTTCCCCCCCTTCGCCGCCGAATCTCACCCCGAGCCGTTTTGTCGGCGGTCCTGGGGCCCGGCGAGGCCGAAAATAGTCCTCCGAGAAAAGTCGGGAGCGGAAAAGAGGGGGGTGATGACTAGGGGGTGTGGATTTCATGGCGCGGGCCATGATTTTTCCTCAGATTTCATGGCGCCTGTTCTTGTTTCGTTACGTCCCAGGCCCCCCCGCTGGGCCGCGCACATGCCGCCGGTCATGATGTGCACCCCCCCCTCTTGGACACCCCCCTCTTGGCCGCTCCCGATGTCTCCCTCGTCTCCTCTTCTTCCGCCTCCTCCTCCGCCTTGTCCTTCTCCTCCGCCCTTCTCCGCCCTCTCGGAACCTTGGGGAATCATTGTGAAGGCCTTTTTCGGCAGCATCCGAATGTCTCCTCCTCCTCCTCCTCCTCCTCCTCCTCCTCCTTTTCCTCACCCGCCCCCTCCCCCTCCCATCGCGCGCAAGGTTCCCGAAAAAGGTTCCCGTCGCGTTCCTTTCACGGCGCGACGGGGTCTGGGGCTCGAGCAGAGCAGCGCAGGCTGCCGCGGCCGGCCGGCTCTCGCGGGCGGCGCAGGGGTCGGCCAGTCTCGGGCGCGCTCTTGGCACGCCTGGCCCCGGTGAAATCGTGTGAGGAGGAGGAGGAGGAGGAGGAGGAGGAGGAGGAGGAGGAGGAGGAGGAGGAGGAGGAGGAGGAGGGGGAGGAGGGAGGAGGGGAGGAGGAGGAGGAGGGGAGGAGAAGGGGGAGGAGGAGGAGGAGGAGGAGGAGGAGGAGGAGGGAGGAGGAGGAGGAGGAGGAGAGGAGGAGGAGGTCTCTCGGGCGACCGGGGCATCCGAGGAGATTCGTTCCCCGAGGACGTCTCGCGGGCGACCGGGGGCATCCGAGGTTCCAAAGCCGTGCGGGGACGGACCATGCGGAGAGGTCCTTCGCGATTTCGAGGTCACCGCACGGTCTGTCACCACACGGTTTCGGGGCCTCCAGGGCGCGGGTTCCACGGGAGGGAGAGCGGCAGGAAGGAGAGGGAGGGGATGGGGCGGGGGAGGAGGAGGAGGAGGAGGAGGAGGAGGAGGAGGAGGAGAAATAATTCTAATTCTAATTCTATATACTGCGGGGGTCCTGCTCTAGGCAGGCCGCTCATACACATTCACGCCCGATCAGGGAAGGTGGTGCCCGACTTTGGTGGGAATCCCCTGGACAGGCGCGACAGCACCTCGCGCCCTGCCTTCGAGGGGCATGGCCCTCGGGCTGGGTCTCCACACACTCGGTTCAGGATGCGGGGAGGAGCAACAGTGCAAAACCCTCCACAGACAGCGCAGAACAGAACACCTCGCTGCGCCGCCAGTCGGTGGGAGGGGTGACAGCGGTCGGCCAAGGGGTGATCCAGGGCACCCCCACACAAGCCCGACGGCCCCAGGACATCAGGGGCGGGGTCAGCGCCCGTGTCACCCCTCGCCTCCCGCGGCGCAAGCAGCTGGACGCGCTGCTTGACGATACAACGAGGCTTACACGGCGTGGGCCAGAAGCTTGCAAGCTGGCCTCTCAGGCCATAACTCAGCCCACACTGCCTACACTTGATGCATGCCTTATGCACCGCGGGCTCCTGGCCCGCATCTCTCAACCTGCAAACCCGTTCGGACAGAGAGGAGACTACCCCACGAGTTCGCCGCGGCTCACGGAGTCCACCCCTCTCCCGCTCGGAGGAAAACAAAACTTCACGCTGCACGGCCAGGATCCTTTTTAAAACCTGCACAGCGAGCTCATCCGCCCGCACGATAAGGGAAACGTGGTTCTCGCTCAACTGGGCCTTCTCAGCAGCCCAATCAGCTATGCGGTCCGCTGCTTGATTTAAATACACTTCTACATCAGACAAAAACATGTTCTCGGCCTGGGCTTGGGTGGGGTGTCCTTTGGTCCAGATCAGTCGGAGCGAACCCCGACGTTCGGAAAGCACACGGTGAAATTCAGCCCACAAGTCCAGCATACTAGATTTCCTTTTCGACCGTAAGCTTTTTCTCACACCCTTCACGACTAACAGGCAGTCACAAGAAACTCGAACGTCTCCGACACTGGCTCGCATCAGCTCGATCAACGCATAGAGCTCTGCCCTCGGAGAAGACTGACGCGCGCACGGCAAAGATCCACAGCGCGCCGCAATTATCCTGCCGTCGGGGCCGAGGTGCACGAAGGACCATCCACATCGCCTCAACCTCCAATCCTTAGACCAATCCTTCGAGTATTTGCCTCCAGACCCATCAACACCCCACGCGCCCCCACGCATGAGCTCCCCCTCAACGCACCTTCCCCAATCCCAGACGAGACGCGGAGGAGGGGGGAGGAGCCCTAAGGAATCGCCCAGAGACGGGAGCCCGCGACACCCACAACTCACCTTGTCGTTTTCAGCGATGGCCCTGGGAGCCAGGGAGTCAATATTTTCAATCGTGTGGTCAGGGATATCACGATTGCACACGCACTGCCAGTATCGATGCAGCGGGGACTCAGGATCCTCGCCACATCTCCCACAGAGCCCATTACTGGCAGAAACGTAACCAGCAGCGCG